TATATATATATATCTATATATAATAATAATAATAATAAATAATGCTGAAATGAATTGAAATAATTAAAGCCATGCAATAACATTTGATAGGCTATACTAGTTAACTTCACGTAACTTGCCATACAATTTATATTTATATATATAGATATATTATTAATTATATAGTTTTGAAGACTAATAATTGTAAATATTTAATTTTATGAAATATTAATATACGTATTTAAAAATATGGGGTTTCACACTTCTCTTTCAACCCAAACCACCATTGCCTGCAACAACCCAGACCACCTCATAATCGCCGCCTGTAAACAACCTTGACCACCTCACAACCACTGCCTGCAAACAACCCACTTTCCCTGTTCCCCAACCCATCGCACCCCAGATCTGAAACCATCCCTGCCCCCAGATCTAAAATCATCGCAGATGGAGCCTACGCAGAGCATGGTGAAGTGGAGCTGCATTGAGAATACAAGTCAACGACGTAGGCGGTGTCGGAGATCTTGGAGTAGACGACGGCGAATTGGGGGCATATGAAGGTGACTGCCTCCGTGGTGTGGGGCCCAGCAGCTGGGCCAGTTGGATTGAGTAGTCTAGGTATGGGAAGTGGGGACGGGGGTTGGGGAAGATGAGATCTGTGTTGGGGAATATGGGTGAGGCTGGGGACAGGGGCGGGGTTAGGGTTTTCTGTAGGGACGAATGCAGCTAATGGGCTGTATGGGCTATAGCCATGCCAAAAAAAATTTTATTTTTAAATGTGATGTAGTCTTAGCCCAAAAAAAATATATCTATAACTAAATAGAAGGGATATCCCACTGGAATTTACAGCAAAGAATCAAACTCTAATTGAGTGGTAAAAAAAACAATTGACAGAAAGCATCAGTTCAGGTGAAAACCAAAGAGCTGATAAAGCCAGAGGCATCTCACCAGCAATTGGTGAATTCAACAAATTAACAAGCCAATTTCTCCTTTCTTTTGTTTGTTGAGGTAATTTTCTACAAGCCAATTTCTCCTATCTTTTTTTTGTTGAGGTAATTTACTTCACTTAGTTCTTATTAGGGAGTTATAATTATATATTTTTTATAAACAACATTTAGGGTTTTTGAATTTGGGGATTTCTGAATATGCTTACATACATCATTCATGTTATAGGTTATACTTATAATGTCAAATCATCATCGAAATCCTAAGAGAATGAAGAATAATCATCAAGTAGCATGCCTTCTTGCCCTTCTTCATTTTCTCCAATTTGTGGGGAGAAACCTCCTTCTGAATTTCAAAGAGTCAAGTCTCAAAGAGTCGATTGTAATCAACAAGTTGATACCAATTCTCTTGAACGTGATATGGGATTACGTCATCAAATATGCACATATTTAATAATGAATGTGATAACGTTCGAAGAGCATATATTCTCTTAGGACCATGTCAACCCACATTAGGGGAATATCCACGCCACTTAGATGGGAATCAAAATTGTCGATTTCAACAATGTTGGTTCAAACAATTCCCTTGGCTTGAGTATTCTGCCCATGAAGATAAAGGGTTTTGTTTTCCATGCTTTGTTTTTGAAATTGATCATTCACACAAGGCATTCACTATAGATGGGTTTAAAAATTGGAAGAGAGTTGGTGGGGAAAAATGTGATTTCCTTGGTCATGTAGGCAATATAAATTCTCCACATCATCTTGCTATGTAAAAGTGGATGGATTTAAGCAACCCTTCTCAACATATTGATAGAGTGGTGCAATCACTGTAATATGTTACAAAAAAATCGGTTGAGACTTACAAGCACAATTGAGTCCATTAGGTATCTAGCAAATCAAGGATTGGCTTTTAGAGGTAATGACGAATCTTGTGAGTCATCAAATAGGGGAAATTTCATTGAGTTGATAAAAGCCTTCTCAAGAATGAATGTAGAAGTTGAAAAAGTCATCTTAGAGAATGCTCCTGGAAATGCGAAATATATTGCATCAACAATACAAAAGGAGATCCTAAATATTTTTGCTAACAAAGTAAGGAAGAAGATTCGTGAGGAAGTTGGAGAGGATGGAAAATTTTGTATTCTTGTTGATGAAGCACTTGATGAATCTAAAAAGGAACAAATGGCTATTATCCTAAGATTTGTTGGTCGTGATGGGTTTATTCGAGAACGGCTTTTTGAGATTATAAGTGTTCATGATACTAATTCCTCAACTCTTAAAACTGAGATTTGTAAAGTGCGTGGTAAACACACTCTTTTAGTGAAGAATATGCGTGGCCAAAGATATGATGGTGCTAGCAATATGCGTGGTCAATGGAATGGCTTACAAGCATTGTTTCTCAATGATTGTCCATATGCATATTATATACATTGCTTTGCTCATCGCCTCCAACTAGCATTAAATGCTGCAGCTAAAGAGGTAGTAGTTATTTGGAGATTTTTTTCAATGTTGAATAATATTGTGAATTTTGTTGGTGCTTCTGCTAAACGTCATTCTAAGTTGAAATTATCTCGAAAAGTTGAAATTCAAGGGTTGTTAGAGTCTGGAAAACTTGGAATGGGTAAAAGGGCTAATTAAATTCGTTGTTTGCAACGACCTGGAACTACTCGTTGGGGGTCTCATTTTAGTTCTATCAGAAGTTTGATTGATTTATTTGGTGCAACCAAGACACTTCCTGGTGAAATAGGTCGTAATGGACCTACATCACAATTTCATGGGGAAGCTGAGAGTATTTATATTGCCATGATGTCGTTTGAATTTATTTTTTCCTTACTTTTGTTGGAAAAAACTATGGGATTCACAGATTTTCTTTGTCAATCACTTCAAAGAAAATCTCAGGACATTGTAAGTGCTTTGAATCTTGTTTCAAGTACAAAAATGAAGCTTGATGAGTTGAGAAATAATGGTTGGGATGATTTTATCAAAAGTGTGCTATCATTTTGTGAACAACATGACATTAGTGTACCTGATATGAGTACTCGTCATAAAATGGGTACAGGTTGTTCTTGTCAACAACAGGATTCTATTATAGTTGAGCATTATTTCCGTATTGATGTATTTAATGATGTAATAGATTTTCAGTTGGTAGAGTTAAATACTAGATTTCCAGAGCAAATTGTGGAACTTCTTTATCTTACCTCAACATTGGATCCCTGTGATTCATTTAAGCGGTTTAACATTGGTGATATATGCAATCTTGCTGGGAAGTTTTATCCTCAAGATTTTACTACCACTGAGTTGCAGGCTTTACATCAACAATTGAGATTTTATAAGACTGATATGGATCGTCTTCCAGCCTTCAAGAATCTTGATTCTATTCCTAAATTACTTAAGTGCTTACTTGAAACAGGGTTAACACAGACCTACCACTTGATTGATAGATTGACTCGTTTAGTGTTAACTCTTCCGGTTTCTACAGCAACAACAGAACGTGCATTTTCTTCTATGAGACTCATCAAAAATCGACTTCGGAACAAGATAGAGAATGAGTTTTTTGCTGATTGTATGATACTTCACATTGAAAAAGAATTTGCTGATAGTATCGATAACGAATCAATAATTAATGATTTCAACTCTTTGAAGCCTAGAAGGGTGCAACTCAAATAGTTGTATTATGTATTTGCATTGCATATTTATTTATTATTGTCTTTTTTTATTAGTTTATATCTTATGTACTAGATGCATTTTGAGGGTAAGGCTCACTATGTCCCCCCTGATTAGGTGTATAATTTTTGTTATCCATGAAATTAACTCGTACCGTCGAGTTTGTTTATAAGGGAAATCCAGCCCAGTGTATTTCAAAATCCTGGATTTGTCCCTGGTTTTCTGGGCTTGGTAAAATACAGAAAACCACATAGAAGTTTACCTTTCCGATCACAACCTATTTGTCCCATTTGTCATCTTTTCAAAATTAGCACACCCGGATCCAATGTTTGTGCACTCTAAACTCCTCAGAAGATCCAAGCACCCTAGTCAAGTAATAATTTTCATCCAAAACCTTTAACACCTTCCAGAAACCAACATTGAACACCTAAACAACATCACCAACTGTTAAAATCTCC